GGTTGTGTAAATTCAAACATTCAACTTGCACGGCCTGTTAAAAAATATTCATGCCTACGACCCAGTTTTTTTTTTTTAATCTCTCAATATTGGCTTATTTTTTGAAAGTTCTAGCATATGCAAAAACATTCATTTTAAAGTTGTTTGTAATAGTAAGTAGTAAATTTACTTAATAAAATAAGTGTGGTCAAGAAGTGGAATATTATATAACAGATAAAAAAGATTGTGTGTGTCATCATACATAGATTGTTTTAGCAATCTGCATAAAATATGTGTTATGTAACTATATATAATGTGAGGTATATATTGATGTATAATATATTGTTATAAAACAATATTATGCATTTCATCAAAATGCATATATATGCATGTTAGCACAAAAAAATCATCTGGAAGAATACAAACTCACTCAAGATTATGAGTAGCACTAAAAGCGGGTGGAAGGAGGGCAAGATTTTGATAGTCGTTGAAGAGGATTTCCACTCCATATGAAATATTTTAATTTTTTTTAAAAAGGAAACTATGATCACGTGTTACATGTTTTTTCTTAACGTACATGTCTAGGGAAAAGCCTGAAAAACAAGTCTATATAAATGCTCAAATGGTTTTCTATGGGTGGTGGATATAGTCAGGATTGTTATTTTCATACAGAAATGTGTCTGGAGGTGTGGGTGTGGGTATGTTCTCCAAATTCCCCAAGTTAAAAAAAAAGTTTAAAATATGGCTATTGTAGTTTGATATTCAGTCACATGGAGTAACAAACCCAACCTTAAGAGTGACACAGATTTCAAAGTATGTTATGTGGATAGGATAACCCACTAACCAACACACTAGGATCCATTAGAATAAACAGTAGATTAAAATCTTTATTAAGCTTCAAGCTTTCACCTTGGAAATCAGAGTGCAGACCTTTGAAGAAATGAGCAGAACCTGGAGATTTTTGTGATTAAATATTACTACATAATTTATCTTAAACACTTTTAATTTTTAAAATGTCAAGATAATTATATGTTAAATATTATCTTAATAAACCCTAGAAATTCAGATTTTAATTAGGGTAGCTTAGGAAACATGAGTTTCTAGCATCATGTCATTTAATTCCGGTCCCACAGAATTTTCAGGTTATGCCAGAATCCTTCATTACCTGGTTACACACTAGTGGACAATATGACATTTTGCTTGGAAATGATATCGGATAATATGATGGAAAATAACTGCACTTTTTCTATTGTGCCTCTCCTGTAAGGCTATAAATAAGTGGAATTGTGCTCCCTTGATTTATGTTTATGACTATTATTATGATGATTTATTTTGGGTTGAGTACTGACAGTGTGCTGCTGTACCAGCCTCATAAGAAGAAATGGTTATGCCCCAGAGGCGTACATACCAAGACAAACAATTCAGCCATAAAATACACCAGCTAAGAGATGCTTAATCTCAGCAGTGCAATGCTTCTTGGAGTTTATATGTAGGTGGAGAAAATTTCCTTCTCCCGGGGAAAGAAGGTTAATGCTCTTTGAAGGACTTTGAGGGCCAGTTTCCAATAGAGATTTCATACAGGGGTAGAGAAACTTCAAAGTGCATGCCATGAAAAGTATAGTAAAAGGTACGGTCGATCAAGGGTTCCCTGGCAAACAGTTTAGGTCCTGAGTTAGGTATCATGGTTGTAAGAGTGCCCTTCAGGGCTTCAGTCTAGTGGGTCCACTCAACTCCATGATTCCAGATAGGCTCAATGTGTTGCTTTTAATATTACAATCATCTTCAATCCACTCTGGAATAATACAGCTAATCACCTAAACCCGTGTTTCAAACCATATGCTTTAAAGAACTCTGTGCTTGGAGAATATGATTAGGTGTGACAAAGCTTAAAAATATGTGAACAAATAAATTTGACAAATGCTGGGTTAAACACACTGCAATAAGTATTGCAAGAATTCTCAGAAACATCCGTCAAGCCATGGAAACTGTGAATCTCTGAGCTTGACTACAAAATAATCTTTGGTAGAGCACTTCACAGGACTCAGGGAAGTGCATGCTGGAAAACTCCAAGTTTGATGAACGAGAGAAAAAAAAGAGAGAATGAATTAAATGACTAGTTTGTTTTAACCATAATGGTTGTTGAGAGTCCTTTGTCTCCCGATTGAGGGCTACAAGGTCATAATGTGTCCCAATGTATCTTCCAACTGAACTGAGCAAGACACAATCCTCCCCGTCACCTTCCAAGCATGAATGGAAAGATAAGAAGGGTAGGATGAGGCTGAAAAATGAGTCTGCACATTGGTGATAGCCAGCCTCCTTGAAGATCCCCAGGGATCCTTGCCTCCTGCTATTCCTGCCCTTGGGGAATCCCTAGCATAATAAATAGTGCTGATTTGCATAACCAGTAGGATACTGTGGAAAAGATGCAGTGCAGCTGCCAAGGCTAGATCATAAAATATATGACAGTGTCCACCTTGCTGCTCTGGGTAAAGCCAATTACCATGTGGTGAGAATATTCAAGGTTCCCTATAGAGAGATCTGTGTGGTGAGGGGCAGAGTCTTACCAACAGCTGTCAGTGAGTCTTCTAGGAAGCACCAAGTCAAGTCTTGAAATAACCACAGCCAATATCCTGACTGTAACACTATGAAAGATCCTGAGGCTGTATCACTCACAACTGCTCCCAAATTCCCGACCCACAAAAGCTCTGTGAAGTCATAAATATGTGTTGTTTTAAGCTACTCAGTTTGGGGGTAATTTGTTACACAGCGATAGATAATGAACACAACATCTGAGGCTTTTTAAGATTTCAAATTTTCCGTCCTGTTGTTCATCCATGTGTCCTGATTTGAGGGGAGGTCACAATATTTGTTCCCCAGAGGAGTTCCTTGCCTCATACGCAGGGCTAGAGTCACTGAATCCTAATCAATGCGGAGGCCAAAGCAGTTTTTGAAGAAATATCTATACGGCATTCTTAGAGAAGATACTACTGCCACCCAGTTGACTGAAAACTTCTGTTTCCTAGATGAGGCAGGTGAGCTTCTCAATGAACTGATAAACTCACAGACCTAACTACCAATGCCTTTTGGAAAACAGGCCCACTGATCAGGGTACTGAGAGTCCGAAAATGGCCTTTACGATGGAGACTGACACTGATAATGTCTAAACTCTCTGTGAGGTAAACCAGAAGGATCTAGGCTCTTATGCTCAGTTGAAGGATTATAACTGAATCCAGACTGGGTGCCATGGTTCACATCTGTAATCCCAGCACTTTGAGAGGCCAAAGCGGGAGGATTGCTTGAGGCCAGGCAATCGAGACCAGCCTAAACCACACAACAAGATCCTATTGCTATTTTAGAAAATAAAATATTTTTTAAAAGAACTGAATCCAGTTCCCCCTTGTGCAACATTAGAAAGGAGAAAACTGAATAGAGTCCAAGGATGAAGGCAAAATAACACAAAGAGTCTGAAGAGAGCTGTGCAGAAATATGAAAACATGCCAAGACACAGGGGGGGCTGGAATCAGGATAACCAATACAGAGCAAGTTGATCTAGAAGGCAATGCCCTAGGTCAGGGGTCCTCAACCTTTTTGGCATCAGGGACCAGTTTTCATGGAAGACAATTTTCCTTGGATGAGGAGGGGGATCACTAAGCATCAGAGTCTTATAAGGAGTGTGTAACCTAGATCCTTCACATGCACAGTTCACCAGAGGGTTTGCGTTCCTAGGAGAACTTAATGCCGCCTCTGATCTGACAGCAGATGGAGCTCCACTCATCCACAGCTCATCTCCTGCTGTGCGGCCTGGTTCCTAACAGATCTGAGGTCTGGGGATTGGGGACCCCTACCCTACAGCATCAGTAGGGGCCCTGTAGACAGAGCTGTGAAAGTGTTGAGCGACTTTGGAAAGAGGATGATCCAACCTAGCTGTGTGAAAAAAACCCCAGATTACACAGGAGAAGCAGACTTACTTGGAAGGAATAAAGGCACAAGAAGGGCCAAGTTGTTTACAGGCCACATGGGAGCAGCATGCTCAAAAGAAGCTGTGAGCTAAGAAGAGACATGTCAGTGGGAAATGGAGCATTAGGAGAGGGTCCCATCTGAGCTCTGACATTGGGGGATCCCAATAACAGGTGAGAGGGGAAGAAAGAAGTAGAAGAGGGAGGGAGGAGGAGACACAGAGAAGTAGGCAGAATTCCTTTTTCTTGGAAACCACCACTCCCATTAAAGAAGTTTGGGAAGCACAAGGCTATCTGGCTGAGCATCAGTTACTGGGTGGAGAGGCAAGCCTTAAGAAAACAATCGAGGACACTCAGAGCACAGTTGCCTCTGACTCAAAAGTGTAGGGGGCTTGGATGTGTGTCTATCTGCTTCGGCAACATCAAGGAATTCTGCACAAATAAGTTGGAATTATTTTCTCCCATCGTACCGAGTCCAGAAATAGTCCATGACCAATGACCCATTATAGCTGCCGGTAGAAAGAAATTTGCTTGAAACTTCATGATAGGCTCAATACACAGTCTTACCCATGGAAACGCACGTAGTGGTAATCAGTATTCCTCTCCAAGCCCAGACCTGGTGGATAATTACAATTAAGCTTCAATGGATTAGCTGCCAGTAGGACAGTAGATAGTGAATGGTATTTTACATCTCTACTTTTTCAGCAAATGTAGGCATGAGACTTTTTTTTTTCTTTTCCATGGAAAACAAAAAAGTTATTTCCAATTAATTCAGGAGACCATCAAAATTACTGAAAATCGTATTTGTCTCTCCCATGGCAGTACGAAGTGACTCTCCTCATTGTGTTAGAAATGCAAGGGTCACTCACATCACTCACACAGCCCCTAGTTTACATTTTTCAATTAGGAGATAATCAGTGTGCCATTATGAGTAAAAATTGTTGGATGACCTTTTGGCTGTATATTTTAACTAGGAAATCTTCGGGGAGGGTTTGATTGAAAGCATGACGGGAGAACAAGGCAAGTTATACTGATGATAAATAAGAACAATTATCACACTTATTTTCTGATAAATAATGTATTGTGATTTGCCATTAATCCATCTCAAGTCACCTCCTGGATTAAAAACACGCCCCGAAGACTGACTTCTTCGGCTTGTCCCCCATCATGTCAGAAATTCTTGCCTGAAAAACACAAAGGAAGAAGCATTTTCCTGGAATATAAAGACCTGTCATTGCATACTTGGTCATTTTAATCAGTGCAGATAAATTATGCCCCTTATATAAATGGTAAATCAGTACTTCTCTCTCAGTTTTAAAAGAAAAAAACCTGTGAGAAACTGTTTTGAGGGAAAGCCATAGCTTAACGCTTAGGAATTTGTTTTAAGTGTCATCTTCCATGTTTGCTAAAAGCTACCAGGCATGCATTTTTAGTCAATGCCTGCAGCAAATTTCTAATTTCAGAGAGTACATACTAGTATAATAGGATAATTAAATTCTTTATGATACTCCATAAATTCAATTGGGAAGGACTGGTTAAATCCATTTAAATGATTCTAAACATCGGACATCAGTGACAAATGTTGATTCTTCCACTGTGCCCGACTTGTTAATTCCAATAGGTATACATAGATTATTTTCAACCCTGGTGCCAAGTAAGTAATCTAGACCTTTGGGATACCCAGGTCATATTTTCCTAGTAACTTATCTACTGATATCCTAGAAATGATATTAATACTATTGTTCCCCTTCAAGCCCTCTAAGAGAGACACTATGGTGACTCTCATTCAGAGATGAGGTTTTCAGTGATTTATCACAGAAACAAAGAACTGAGTGCCACATTTTCTCACTCATAAGCAGACCTCAAACATTACCATAATACCATAAGAAAGGGATTGGCAATAGCTGGAAACTGCCCGGGGAGGGAGGAAGAAGCACACATAACATCAATAAGGATACCTGATCTCAAACCAGGCGAAGTGGGGATCAAAAGGAAGCCCAAACTTTACCTGTATGATGACCACTTATATACCTAATCCTGAACTGTACCCCACATCTTTAAAATAAAAATTTTTTAATGGCAGTATTCGTCATCAGAAAACAAAAAAAGATGAAGTTTTAATTGTACTGCTTCTTTGGTGTGTGTGTGATTTTTGTTCTTTTTCAAAAATAAATTTCAAAAAGAGTAAATAAATTTGATTTTTTCTTATCCATTTCTGATGCTGAACAAATATTCTTTATTAGTTTTTTCTTTTTCTCTTTTCTTTTTTTTTTTTTGAGTTGGAGTCTCACTGTCACCCAGACTGGAGTGCAGTGG